AGCCAAGATATCGACTCTACGCGTTACACACAGCAATGGAGAGCCGACTCTCTCACCGTCTCTTAATTTCTACTAAAAATATTTTGAAATTCCCATGAAAAGCCTTTATAGAGGAGGAGGGGGACGAGGAGGGTTTCAAGGACACAATGTACCTCTAAACATTAAAAAATAATGGAAATAAATTTAAAATGCAATAAAATAGAAGATTAGGTTCATTTGTAGCAAGTTTCATTAGAAAACTGAAGGGGTCAATGGACCTCCTCTCTCTATGAGATCTCTCAACGGTTTTGCTACGAGAATGCTTAATATATATATATATATATATAAAAAAAAAAAAAATCGTAAGAAAAAAAAGTTTAATGGCTATTTTAAAGTCCTATTTTCGCAATTTTTTAAGTTTTTAATAGTTTTGAAATTTGCGATTTGAGAAAAATCCTGACGTGATAGTAAACAATGAAGGTCATTTTTGCCTTCAGCCCTAAAAATACATAAGAAAAAATTATCAAAAGTTAAAAAACACAGCCATCGCAGGCTTCTGTCATTTAAGGAATCTGATTTGAAATGTATTATGGGAAATGCTTTAAAAAAGGGCACGAAAGAGATTTCCTTTTTCAAATTCTTAAATTAAGTGGCATATAAAACCTCTTCACTACAAATTCAGAATGCCAAAAAATCTGAAATTTTCGAAAACTCATAAATTTTCACATTGATTAGGATTCTATATCAGCTATTTTTTTAATAATTATTAAGTCGTAAACATAAGATAAAATATTGAAAGAAAGGCAATAGAAGCGACAAAGAATGTTGAAATCGAGAGTATTTCTATTGAACTTCCCCTCGAAATAAAATCTGCAGAATTGTTTTGCTCCTGATGAAAAGGGACTTATACCTGTTCGCTCTTGAATTCGATAGAATCTTGGTTAAATTCTACGCTAAACACAAGCTTGTTGCTTTGCCTAACTGCATGTTTTACTTTGGCATGTTTCTCTTTCCTCTTGCTGTAAATGAGTTGGAAATGACATTCAAAGACAAACTTCTAAACTAAGAAATAAAACGCTGGTGACAGCATTTTATGGCTATTTCCAAAGCAAAACTCCCAGACACTTTGGCTTTAAAATGTTTTACACATAGCTACTAGACTACCGAATAACATCTTACAAATGTAAATGAGTGGGCTTTGAAAAGAGCACAGAAGTTCTCTGGCCTTAATACATATTCATCATGCAAAGAAATATCACTTGATAAAGATATAGATGTATTTGCCAGTTTACAGCCACGAAAAATGGAATTAAGGAATATTTAAATTTTCTAACCAAAATGAAAGAGCAGAAAAATGTTTTCCATTTTTATTTGCAATAATTTTATGATTAACATAAATGGTGCATATACAACTTATAGATGTATTCAATGTCTTTACTTATATAGTTACTATATAATAAAAATGTAGATTTTATTGTTGTATTTTGATGAAAATAAAGTAAGATGAATTTTAAAATTATTTCAATATCCCATTATATATGCGCGAGTGTGCACGTCAGAAATGAAAGTCAAAACCAGAAGTACTTTCACTAATATTATTTTATTTTTGTTATATATTGTTCCCTTCATTATGCTTTTTTAGATGCTTTAATAAAGGTTAAAACGGTTAAGGTGAAAAACAGAAATATTGAAATACACATTTAATATGTTTGTAAGGTAATGTTTATAAATATGTTAATTAAATTAAATATATCCATAATTATGTTACATAATTTTATGATTATTGTTATTAAAGTATATAACATAATTATTATTTATATTCACGTTATTGGCCTTAACATAATATATTCGTCAAGTAATTATTACCTTTAAATATGAAGATGTTCTAACAGGCAGAAGAAATGTATAACCATAGGAGTCGTAAGGGGCAGCTCTCTACCTAACTAACCATGCCTGACTCAGTCTGCATTAAAATCTCTGTCTGTATTTTAAAAATAATATCTTTATTCCATTCCGAACAAATTTAAACATAGCATTCTTACTAAAAAAATAATTTACAGTTTTTTAAAAATTAAGTGTGAACCTCGGAATGCCAAATAAATAAGTAAGAGTAAATAAATTATAGTAATAATTCACAAAAATGACGAAAAAAACTGCTCAAAACCCCAAAGAACACCTGCTAAAATATCTAATCCGTGTCTTGGCTATAGGGAGTGTAACGATTATGTTAATTTTATTAACAATTAAATTTTAAGTTAAAGTTCCTTTCCTGCCAAATTCTTAACTTCATCTTACTACTTCCGGCCAGAACGTAGTTTTGGAATTTTTCTGAATATTTAATGAGGAGGAGCGATATTTAAGCCGCGAAGTCTACTTACAGAGTGAGAGAGAATCAGAGTTTCTGATTTACGCGCGGCTGCGTTTTGGCCACTATCTCTCTCAAAGCTGTTATTACGCTCGGCCGTATTCAGGCCCTTGATAAGCTTCGTAGTCAAATAGAGTTAAGGGTCCAACTAGTCCAGAATCTTGATAGCTTTGGTTATATTTCTTTAGTTAATCTTAGTTTTAGTTTAATTCTTAGTCTCTTAAGTTCAAACCCAAGTGTCGGCTTTGATTGTACACTCCAAGACGGAGTTTTGTTAAATCTTATTGGATTAATAAAGGATTAATTACCCTTCCATCTTGTCGTTTCTTGTCACACGAACTTAAGCTATTATTCGCAAACTAGTTCTTAAGATTCGTCACTTACTACAGTAACTGAGGTTTATACTAGTGAGAATCTTACAGGAGAAAGGGAACGGTTCATTCTGGCGGCTATACATTTGCGGGGAGTAATTTGCAATTTGTGCACAATTTTGCTCCCAGACGTTACCATTATTTATGTTAACTTAGTACATTTAATATTTAATTATTTTTAGGAACTATATCTTCAATTTAAACAAAGAAAAATATAATTAAATATATTAGTTATACTAGAATTCAAATTCTTAAAACAAAACACTTAAACTCCCGAGTAGAAAATTTCTCGATTGATTATACCATGGCAGCCGCATCTCACATTGTATAGTCAGTAAGAAGTGCGAAAATGTATTGCTACTTTTCCTTAAAACGAGTGATCATCATCTATGTTTCATGCATTTATATCCAATAGATCGTTTTCATAACTCTTGAAAACTTTTCGATTATTTAGTTCACTAGTTCATGTATGCTTAGTTCAGAGAAATGTTGTCCAATGTAGTCACCAACGGCCACGTGCGGCTAATAAATACTTGGGAATATAGTTACAGGAATAAAAGACATTTAAAAGTTTATTTTTAACTAGTTTACCCCCCCCCAAAGGAATTGTTTTATTAATTATACCTGAAACTTAACGTTTCAAAATTGCATTTCTTTGCACTGAATAAGTTAGTTTTCTAAATCTATTTTTGTTTAAAAGTATGGGATTTTTTGTACCTTCTGCTGTCTCCTAGTTCCTTCTCTGTTTGCATTATACAGAATGAATTTATAAAAATTTTAAAGGGAAAAGCAAAAAGAAAAGCTATCAAAAAACTTAAAGAAGCAAACTAGTTTTCTATGATAATCAGAATCATTCTTGAGGTTTCTAAGAAAGATCAAACGAACAAAATTTTATGCTACCTTATGATCAATGAAAGTAAAGTGAGGGCCGTGAAATCGTTTATTAGTTAGGCGTTCGTAAGATTCATATACGCCCAGAGGTAAAAGTACCCACAATATTTCAGCTGTAATTTTGCAGAATTTAGTGAATGATGGAGTTGATGCTCAAACTTATAGACATCAAGCATATGATAACGCTGCTGATACTGAGGTTTGGAGACACACAGGGAAAATTAAGGCAAATGCAGGATTCGCATTTAAAATTATTATTTAATTGAGAATACATACAGTTTTTATTGCAATGTTGCCTTTTTGAAAACTTATACGATAGGAATCCTAATTGTATAATACCGCGTTTCCCAGAAAATAAGACCCTGCCTTATATTAATGTTTACAGCAAAAGAGACGCTAGGGCTTATTTTCAGGAGATGTCAATCCTGTTGGTCTCTTTTTTAAGAGACCTAATATTTTCTTCTGCGACTGGGGCCTCAACCGACCCTAATCTATTTCTTTATCTCATGGGTGATAACAACAGGTCACATCGTGCTCGAGTAGTAACAATTCTTTTTAATGAAGCAATCTTCCGAAAATATTGGCCAGCATATTCTCAAAACTTTTTGATGAAGGAATCCTTCTGATATAATGGCCATCATGTTTTCAAAACACAAACTCAGTCAAAAATTGAAACATTCTAAGATGAGTTATTGATCGCTTAATCACCCCTGGAAACAATTTAGCAGCTAAAGCGTGTATTTTCCTACAGAAGCGGCATAGAACGTACTCTCTATCTTTGGTAATCCCACTGACTCTATGCCTCAGAGATAAGAAACAATGTTTTCGGTTAGGCGAAGCCATACTCCTAAAAAGACTCATGTTTATCAGAGAAACATATTTTTGTTCATTTTTATGACATGAATAAAATAGGCACTTTTTATTTTCCGAAAAAGTAAGAATGAAATTTAATTATTCTTTGCGACATATAATTAACAGTTATCATAACTTACACCTACAGAACACATATCAACTAACAAAAATTTTCGTCATCCTCAGTTTATACTCAAAATTTTAGTATGATCTAATAGTTTCAGCGGTATATTTGCAAAAAATTTAGAGATGTGCTCCTGTTGTAGTAAAGGAACTCGTGAACGACGCTAACAATTCTAATGAATAGAACAATGATATATTGAAGGGCTGAATAAATTAAACCTCCTTTTCTTAAAGTTGAAACTATTTTGTTTTCTGTAAGAAGTAAATTTTACTTGAAAAATCAAAACATATTCTTTATAATATTTTAGTTTACACTGAGTGAAAGAATTAAAGCATATTGTATTATAAATTAATAACTTTTAATTTAAGTATCACATTTAAGATAAATTGTTTGTGTAACAAATACCAGGCCACAGAAATTTACTTAAATTAAGTTTATACACAAAATTTTATACAAGCTGCAAAACACAGTTATTTCCACAGAAAATTAAAATTACATCATAAAATTCTGCATTAGATTAAAAATGAAGAAAATCAAGAACATTGAAATAGGTGCTAATTTGAAACAGAATGTATAACTAAATTATTTGACTGCTCAGAATTTTCAGTTGTCTCTTTAGTTTTGTTCAAAGACCATAAGCATTGACTCATTTTTTTCTTTGTTGTTTTCCAGAGCAAAAATTTCTGAGGCCTCTCCTTAAGCTCCCTTTCTCTGGTACATCTTTCATAATACTCTTGTTCCTTAAGATAACTGAAAAATAATACAATATATATAGATCTATGATAAAAGAATCAAAATATCAGTTAAAAATTAGATGTAATTAGCATTGAAATTTCAATCTATCGTTTCTACAAATTTAATAATTTCAAAACATTTTCATCAATTGTCACAGAGAAATTTCATATTGAACAGCAACACTATTAAAGAAAATATTTACAAATATGCATAGCCTGAGTGTAAAAATGTGTCTCTGTCATTTTCCTGACTTTAAATTTTATTGCCTTTTCCACTTGCATCATTCGTAAAGTTGTGACAATACCCAGATTTTCCGCGTCCTTATTGTATAATGAATGCAGCTCCCGATTAGCGAAAAAACACCTGAGCAAATTTAATTGATCAGATTAGTTATGAAGCCATTTAAACATGAAATTGACTAATTTAAAAATTTCTTAAGTATGAAACTTACCTAATCAAATCTATGAAGTATGAACCTAATGAAACTTACAATAAAATGTTTCAAAATTTGCCATGGAATTACATTGGCCAAAATTGGGAAAATAACACCAAGAATATAGAGCAGTATAGTTTTGAAATTAATACAGAGAATTTCGGCGAGATATGAGATATGAGGTCTTCGGCTGGATATTATTACAACAAAACGATTGCAGCTTTAAAAAAATCTGTATAGAGTAACGCGGTAAATCAGCACTATTTCTTGATAAGGCATAATCAGTCACTGCTTCAACACGTATCCATTCTGACATTTACGTAGATGATATATATTTATGCAGATGACTAGTCTTGAGAAATTTTATTTCATGCTTCTTAAATTTGAAACAAGTCAGATTAATTCTTGCAGGAATTAGAGCTCAGAAAATACCTCTAAATTGATGCTTGCAGAGCCCTTCAGTTAACACAGACGGTATTAGATAGGCATTAATTTGAAGAAATGAATCATTACCTGTTTGACGCAGAATAGTCAAGCTATACTAGTCTAATCATCAGTACTTTTCAAACTACCTAGAATAACAATCAAACTTTACAATGACTCATAATTTAAGATTTAAGGAATACCTCATAAGTAAATATGTGTAAATCTTGCATGATATTTATAGTATGCATAATGCAATTTGGAGTCTATTTTTTTTGTTCACTAGACATATGAAAAAATATCATTATCTGCCGAGGATCACTTGACTCAGGTTACTGAGTAGTACAGTATAACCTTCATTCCTTGACAAAGTCCGCTGCTGACATCATTGCAATCTGTATTTACAGCTAGAGGTAAAATTAAAAATATTTCTCATGAATAATACACATTAATCCTATTTACAAGAGGCGATTCTGAACTATTTTACAATTGTTAGATCTTCTGAAATGCTAATCTCAATCACCATGGTGAATTTGTGGGTTTAAGCGCCATTGTCATTTGTATTCTTCGACCTGAAGTCCACCCTTTTGTCTTATTTACTCTTAACTACTTCTTCTTGTTCTTTTTTTTTTGGGGGGGGGGCAGTGGTTGATCTTTTGTTGTCAACCTGCATAGACCATTAAAAAAGCTGGAGAAATTACCACCCACTTCTACATGGGCCACAGTATGACACAGATACAAATATATCAAATAAGTAAAAGATTAATGCCTCTTACCCTAGACGCAGATTAAGATTACTATCTAACAATGAACAGTTTGGCATTTTTTCCTCATCATTATAATAAGCTTGTACTTCTTTATTGTAGTAAGTGATCTAATATGCATCGTATGCAGTATCGCTTCTGGAGTAACAAGTTTTGTTAAGATGAATGAAGATTTATGGGAATTTATGATATCTGTCGTTCTACCTGATTATCGAAAGAAAGGATTTCATAAGATTTATTTTCTTTCATGGTATCTCTTTTCAGGTTTAGCTACTGTTATGCATTCATATCTGTGAAAGCCGCAGTCATCAAGGAATGAATAGACAAATCGAAAGGAAATTTATGACACATGTTGTAGAGTAATTAGGTTAATTGGAAGCAGGGAAGTTGAAAAATATGCAACCCCTTCGCCGGGAATCGAACCACGGACCTCTGGAATACCGGCCCAGCGTGCTGCCGTTACACCACGAAGGCACGTTAGGGAAGTGGGAGAAATACCTTATAATGTTGCCAATGGTAACAGAAGTTACCGATTACTGTTTCAGACAAATTTAATGATATTACTGGCACAAAATAAGCATTTTTGGGAAATGCCAAAAATGAAAATGAACGCTTCTATACGTCATGGCATCGCAACCAAGATATTTTGGATATGTTTTGCACATCGCTTTTGTGATCGGAATTAGTTCATTAATATTGACTGCATGGTGGAGATGAGTGACGGGTCAGTCACAAAATGATCATAGCTCGCACCTGTCCAATCAGAAATATATTTAGTGAATTGTTAGATTAGAGAAGACGTGGTATCTGTTGTACTGCGAAAGAGTCTTTGATATTCAGGGTAACAGTCTGTTAGAGGTCATCGTTTTGGACTATAGCGCCAGAAGAGGCTGAAAGAAAGGTTTGAGCTCAACTTCTGCTTCCTTGATATAGCGGTCGCTGTTGAGAATATCCGTGGTTGATAGTAATAAGGATTCTCAATGATACCAATGGCGCCGGATACCACCACGCTTGTCGTTCGTAAATTATGTGTGTGTGATTATGGCAAAGCCTCGAGGGCTATCTGCCTAAGGGAAGGGATGCCTTCGTGGAGGACTTTCTAATGGAAACTGGTTCTATACACGTTACACATGGGAAAAGCACGAAAACGCCCATGCAGCCAGCCCGTTCGCGGGATTCAAACCTCGGACAGAACTACGAGTGTTGAGCGACTCTACCGCTTGGCCGCTGGTGGGCCGTTCGTAAATTATGACCATCTTAAATGCATATTGGGAAATGGCGCTGCCCAAAACATAGTCTAATGTGTATGCGACCTGCACTACAAGTCAGATTAGAGCGAAACTCATGAGACAAATGACTTGTTTAACCTCGTACTAAACTGTTTACATTTAGGCGTCCATTGCAGTCTGATGCTTGATTGTTCAGTGTCAAGGGAATTTTTCACAAAAACGATGCTTTCATGCAATTTTTATTTAGAGGCCTGGGAATAGTAGAATCGTGCAGGTAGACAAGAGCATATTGACAGCAGTGCTGTAATCTAGAGCGAACTTTCGAAAAGAGGCCCATCTCATCTCGTAGTGAGCATCTTCAACTGCGTGGCGGTGACAAACGCAATAGTTTATATCCATCACCCCGCAAATGAGGTTTTTGTTATTTCGTGGTGTCAACATATTTAGGGGTTTACCGCTAGAATTTCAGCTTTTCTGGTTTTCTTCAATCCACTGTTTTCATGCTCTTGTCGCTGTCTTAGCATTATGGTCCATACGAGCCGAAGTGTAGCAGTATGAATATCAACATTCACTCCAATAGTTCATTTCCCAGAACTCTGCAATTTGTCAATAGATTGCCTTTTGAAGTCAGCAGGATATGGTGATACCTATGGGTCATTTATTAGCCCGATGATGATCATTGCTGCCTTTATTAGTATTTACATCAAGTATGGCGATCTTGTATTTTGATAAAAGACACTCCTGATTTGGCGAGAAAGCTCTTCTTAGTGGGGTCGACATAGAAAATTTTGTTCGCAACAAGTCGAATGAGTGCAAAATAATTGTCGAAAACATTAATTCTAATGGTGTATTAATTATTAATTATTATTTTGTTTTAATTATTGTTTACTGCTGTGTTGAAAATACAATTCATAGCTATAAAAATTCTAGGAATAAATGACTAGTTAATGATAATTTATGACTAAAATGCATACTGACATGTTCATTGTTCCTGTTCCTCTTACATTTCATAAGTATTATGTGTAAGCCTTTGTTAAATGACTTGTTAATTTCTTTGTAAATACACTTGTACCATAGTCTAAATTAGAATATCTATCTCTCTACCCCTTGTGGGGAATCCGCTGCAAAGTTGTCGTTGATTAGAAGGCTAAGAACCGATGGGTTTCTCCATTCCCAATGAATGCTTTTGAGCAAGTAATTGATCAGTGGGGAGGATTTAGGTTTTCTAGTGTCCTAATATCTGACCCTCACATCTAATAATTTCAGAGTTATTCAAAATTTAACTTTCTTTAATCTCATTTAATTAAGTTTTATTTTCAAATAATTCTGTAATTGCTAGCTATAACTTAAACACATTTTGCTAACATTTCGCAATAAATTACTCTTCTTCGATACTAGCTTCAACCAAAAAAATATAAATCCCTCTTCAAGAAAACATTAGTCAAGATCTGCGGATTTATTTTATTCTCAAAAGACAGAACTTGGATGGTAGTTGATTACTATAAGTAGTTGATTACACTAGGACTATCTACAAAAGAGAAGGTTTAGCTTCTTGGAGAATTTTTTAAAGGATATTTGCTTGTATTCATATTAAACATAAGAAAAAATAACTAGCATGAAGACCTCGCTAAGCCAGAGATAAAGTAATATATATTCATTGATAAATTTTATTTTATAAATGTGCAAGCCTTGTGCCCACAAAAGTCTACCGTATCCACAAAAGGCTTTACCCAGCCTTCAGTTTCGCAATCGTTGGTTTTAGACATATGCTTCCCCCTACAAAAATAATTCAAATCACACACAGATTAATGTTTTCGTATTTTAAATTAAAAAAATACATAAAATATAAAATCTAACATTCTGTAAGTTTCTCCGCTCCGTATATTTACTTATGTTTAGGAACATTTTGTACTCGTTGTAAAAAATAAAACACAAAACTTTTGACTCTCCTACGACGAAAATTGACCGAGATATTTAATTTCAAAATTTGCGATTTTTGACGGCATTTGAATTTGCATTGAGAGGCCACTTAATAAATATGTTAGAATAGTTCGAGGTTGATTTTCCCCCCTTAAATATAATTTAATTATACTTTTTTATGATTTTATTCTTGTATTTAATTTACGACTTTGTTGCATTTGGTATTCCCAAAGAATTTTCGCAAAAGTAATTTTGAGTTTTGAAAGTCTAACTATACGCTATTAACATTATCATGGAGTTTTATTACTTAAGAATCATAACCTGGTGATCATATAAAAATTCATTAGACCATAAATATTTTTAATTTTTAATTAATACAATAATATTACTAGTTGACTACCTACCAATATAGCAACGTTGCCTGGCAGTGTTGTCTAGAACAGCCAGACTTTGTGAATCTTCATGAAAAAATACCTACTGCTTAATATATTTCATTGTAATCTACATAGAAAATGCTCACTACTTAATCTCTTAACATCAGAAACCCTTTTCTAAACTAATATTTTATTTTTAATTAAGTAGAAATGCAAACCTTTCGCTCTTCAGTTTGTGTATGTATCCAGAATAGGATTTTCGATTTAATTACCAAATATCTCCGTTAATATTTATCGTACGGGAGTCAAACTTCTTGCGTTTTATTTATTTATTTGTTCCATTTGTTTTCCTATGTATAACGAGTACAAAAATTTCTTAAATATAAGTATAGGAACCGAAGGAAGGTATAAAAAGTTAGATTTCTTAATTTTCAGGTAGACTTTTGTGGGTATGGTTATATTACATTAATATTATTCCTTTTTGGTAAAAATGTATGTGTGTGAAATAGCAATTTTATACATTGCACCTGAGAGCATAGCCTAGCATTTTGGTTTAGAAAATGCTTGAGCGATGTTATGTGAATTGAGAAGAGCTTCTTTGTGGATTGTTGATCAAATGCATTGAATTTTGAATTACAGAAAACTATGTCATTTTATTTCGCAGTCTGATATATGTACATTTTCTATATTTTTTTTACATTCTAATTTACGTATAATTGACATACTTTAAGGTATACAGAATTTTATGAATTATCCTTCGATTTTCACACAACTACATTTATTACATTCATTAGTCACCTTCAGTCGAAAACAAATTTATGAACCAAATTATTGTGATTTGTGAATTTTATATTCTATTTGTAACAGTTTTGTTAACATAGCCTTCCTATATATGAAATATTCGAGTATATTCTGAAATCGTCTACATTTCCTAGTTCCTTTAATTCACACATACAAATTCTGTATGAAATTTTCCACTTTTCCGAGTATTTACGTTCATCAGATTAGGAAAGAAAGAAAACTTAACTTACTGTATAGGAGGCCATCTATTTTTGTTTAAATAGGCTTGGTTATCTGGATGCAGGCTGCGTAATAATTTTGGAGCACTCATAAAAATACTTTGATAATGGGTTATGATGTAATACTGGCACCACTCAGAAAGCTGATCTGCGTTATGAACCTAAGTAAAGAGAAAATTACAAAGGTACACAAAGTGCTTTAATGTGTTTGTTAACAATTGACATATAAAACTTATAAAATCACAGTTGTAATAAAATTAATATGTTGCTTATACATCAGAAAACTTTAGGAGGAAAAAAAATCATTCAACGTGCAGTATTCACAATAATAAAACCAAACATGTACATGTACTCATTTAAGTAAGTACTTGTATCTAAAAGAATTTGTATCGAGTTCGGCTTCAGACATAGGCGATCAATTCTTATGAAGACATCAGGCAAGTCTTTACGAACGACAATATCTAGAAGGAGCAAAAAGGATAAACTATGTATTAAAGCACTCTATTGTGTAATTAAAGCCAGCTTATCAAAGCAGTAACTTCACAGTTAGTGTGAAGCATGGGGATGGAGTGATATATGAATGTCGATAAATGAAGGCTGAAACTTGTAAGATTGTTATAATTTTACATAACCATTTATTTTATGATTTAGATCTTTAGTGTCACTTCTCCTTTCCTGTTTCCTTACAAGAATGAAAATTTAGTCTCGAAGTATTTAAGCTAAGTGTTTTGGAATGTAAGTCAGAACGTGTTTCTGCCTCTCGAAGCTACGTTACTAGGTTTCGCTAACTCGTATGATTATAATCTTCATCTTTGCATTATAATTTTAATTTCCGATATTTAAGTTGTTACTACGGTGAGAAATTTTGAGCCAACTTCACGTTAAATCAATTGTGTAGCCTTTGGCTACTAGACTCAGTTTTAAATTGGAAATTGACTTCTACTTTAAGTTATATCGCAACAGGTGGTTGGCTGATCCTATTAAGCACGAGACATGCATTTTTATGGGTTTTTGATTTAATAAAAATGTTACTTTTTAGCCTTCTGACGTTTTGGTCGTTACCATTAGACGTAGTAATGATTCGCTCCAAGTTTTTCAGGAGTTTGGATACAAGTATGTTACCAAAGAATACCAAACTGTATAAACTATAGTTATTTCTTTGAAAATGAGAGTGTCTCTTTTATTATTATTTTTTTTATAATTTTATCATTATAAATTTAGCTTAGAATAGCTTGTGTTTCTTTGGAATAAATAGCTCCTTCTTTACATTTTTAAAGTTTTTCAAACTGATTACTTTGTAACTGAATCAGAAATCTTATTAACGTTTTAAATTTTATTTTGCATCCATACTGCTACATTTATTTCGTATTTGCGCTGTAATTTTGCTTTGTGTTGTAATCAGTATTCAAAATATTTAGAACAAAATAAGTGAATGCTCGATTATGGATATACCGAAGAAGTTTCAGAAGATCCTGGAAAACATATTCAGAAATATTTCTTCAAGACACATACACTTAGCCTTCACTAAATTCATTAAGTTCTTCTTCATTAAATGCTTTGAGCAGCGCAACATGCTGATCATTCATATACGATCCCGAAAAACTGCGAAAATTTGCAACGGACTTTAGCACAACTGACAGCTAGCAGTATAAGTAACCAACCATCAGTCCGATATAACTACTACAGAGATAGCCATGGAGCTGTGCAAATTACAAGATTTCATTTCTGGAGTAGAAAACAAGACGAAAAGATGTAGTTTCCTTCATTTACATATACTCTTGTCAATCATGAGCATCACTACTGCAATGAGATTCGCCCAGACCTAGGGGCCCACCAGCGGCCGAGCGGTAAAGACGCTGAACACTGGTAGTTCGGTCCGAGGTTCGAATCCCGCGAACGGGCTGGCTGCATGGGCGTTTTCGTGATTTTCCCCATGTGTAACTTGTATACGAGCCAGTTTCCCTTAGAAAGTCCTCCACGAAGCCATCCCTCTCTTTAGGCAGATAGCCCTCGTGTGCTTTGCCATAATTGAATAATCCAATCCAATCCGCCCAGACCTAGACCGTCTGGCAGCGCATAACAAAGATTTTATGGTCTCTTGTGCCAGAGGCAATCCCGGGAGGCCGAAACAAAAAGACCAAGCTTTATCGAAATTTAATATGTAGCGATCACACAGCTCGGGACAGATCTGACAGTACCCTTTCAGTCCCGGCCGAGCCTGAGCGGATCACCGTATAGAAGATGATTCACTGTGAATGCAGCCAATATACTGTCCACTGCCAACGTACACGTTACGCGCTGCTAGCTTGGGAAGGGGTGGCTTGATTAGCCGCGAAAGTGAGATAGCTCCATGGAGGTAAGGATGAAAGCAGACATCCCCCTCCCACTACGGTTGAAGCTGTGGGCTGCTGAGCTTTGGTAGCCAAAGGAGGTGCGTTTTGTTTACATCCAGATCATGTTGACAACGGTTTGGCAGTACTTCCGCGCACGACAGTTCAGCGCAAATCGAAAAGCGGAGACATTTCCGCATAAAAGAAACATTAAATACTGGATGAGCGGATTGGTAGTAGCAATTTATATCGTTTAGTAGCATTTCCACACAAATCACATCTTGTTGTCTTTTGATAACTTCCAACAGCGATTTTAATTGTGAATTTATTTTATAAAATTCTAAGCTACTGAGCTACAGAAATATCGATTTTAGAAAATGTTAATGTTACGTGTAAAGAATGATAAATACCTTAAAGTGCCTTTAAAATGTCAAAATATCACAAACGTATAACATACTTTAAAGTTCAATTTCCTTATAACTAACTGGTATAAGCGTAAAATTTGCATACTTCTTTCGATACCTCTGATAGTGTATTTGCTAATTTTCTTTTATGTTTCAAATATTAAAATGTTTTAAATAGTTGTTTTAAAATATCAAAATGTTTAGTGACTAAAGCCGCGAAACACTGGTGGTTCGTCTGAAGTTTCTATTCTTGGCGACTGAACTGGCTGGTTGCATGCGATTTTGGTAATTTTTCCTATATGTAACACGAATACGAGAAAATGCTCTATAAAAATGTTACACGAAAGCATTCATTTCCTTATGCAGAAAGCCCTTGTGGGCTTTGCTTTAGTTAAATTGACTGATAAAAATACTGTATTATCAGCGAGACGTAATATAAATTTGGAAATATCTAATAAGAGTTTTGATTCACTAGTGGCCGAGTGCATAAGAACAATAAACGTTGATAGTTCGGCCTAGATTCTATCAGGGCGAACGAGCTGATCGCAAGAGTATTTTCATAGTTTTCCTCATGTGTAACGTGAATGCAAACTAGGCTATCTTTAAGAAGTCATCCACAAAGGCATCTTTAATTTTTTTTAAATACCCTAGAATACTCTGCCATAATTTAATAAACACAAAATATTTCCTCTAATTTTATCTTTAGACAAGCTGTTAAACTATCTGGGCCAGCGAATAGAATTCCAGTTCAAAACTTTGCGACAGATTCGCCAAATTCTTTTGACCGCACTTGAACGTAGCTCACAAACAAGCAAACATATCATCCTTTAAGAAAGATTTAAAATCCTTGTAAATCAGCTTTAATTTTTTAATTGAACACTATTTTGAGCAATATGTTATCTCTTGTTAATTAAAATCCTCTGAAACGTTTACTTTTTGTAGTGTATAGGACTACTTTTCGATCATTCGTGCTTTCCAATATTCTGTGCATTAATTAACACGGGTAATCAGAAGTTCAGTATAGATAGTTTCTGAATTTCTCTGGAGGCAGCAATAACCTAAGAAATCATTCAATTTCAACTCAATCAACATCGTTTGTCTAACACTGAAATAGGAGATGAATGCATGGAATCCAACAAATAAAGCATGTTAAACTGAAAATAATTTCTCGATGGTATCATCTAACATCGACTGATGAGCTTCTGATGAGTATATGCTATGAATGCGACTTTGTAGTTAAATGCTTCTCGATTTAATATTAATTTTATGTACGGCTTCCGAATGACCATCTAATGTTCTTGGCTTTATTTAAAGACATAATTTAGAGGTACTGGTTTCCAAAAAGTCAGGAAAAACCACAAAAACAGCATTCACTCAAAAACTTACTCGTGGTTATGAATGAAATTTAGAAAAGTTATAGAACTGATGGAAATGTACACATTGATACACAAGTTCAAGAAATTTACTTTATGTGCTGTACTAATACACTAAGGAAAATGATATAACTTTAAGAGGTACATAGGAATATAAATAATGTATGCACATGTATTAACTAAAATGCATTTTTATGGAAAAACTAGCTTCAAGAGCTAATAATTAGTGTAATTAGTGTGTTCTGAAATGTGTTAAGAATTGATTATAACATTGAAAAGATGCATGTAGTGTAAGTGGAAGGTTTATTTATACAGCTAAATATTGCATTATGTAAATTTCATTTAATACTGCAAATAGGCAACCTTTTAATATCTTTTGAACGCCATTTTAAATTTTTTGTTCTTTCGAAGATATTTATTCCTTATAGGTCAGATGTTTAAAAGCTACAGAGAATATACTTGTACATGAGGGTGATTATATTCACTCAAGACAGAATGTTTTACAATACTAATTTACAGGAGTTAAACGTTAACCTTTCTTTTTCACATGATATGTGGAAAAATATGATATTATGTAGATACCTGCATGGCACAGACTTTATTTATATAACACTATTATATAGATTCTATGAAAGGTTATACAGCATCCACCTGAAGGTAAGAATGCTTTCGTGAAGTGGCACGTATCCTCGTTACACAAGGGAAAAACACGGTAGCACCATGCAGCTACCCCGTTCGCCAGGATTCGAGCCCGAGGCGAACTATCACTGTTCAACGACTTTACTATTTGGCCGTTGACTGACCCAGATACGTATAATCAGATGCGTCGGCAATTCTCAGACTGTGCATCTAGACACAGTGTCAGATGTGTCATGTACATCTTTGCGAGTTTGTTTCATTATAACACTATTATACAGATTTCGTGTATTATTATTGAATTTATTATATTATTAAACCACTGTTTATGTTTTAAGAAATACTGATCATTTTCAGAGATGGTTATCACAGGATGGTAGCATGCTACTATATTTTTTGTTACTTTTATTAATTTTCT